AAGGATTTCTTGATTAGAAATAGGATTGGATTAACTTTTACACTGTTGAAGAAACCCCCGTTATATAATTATGCTAAATTTTGTACTAGACTTTATTTTATTGATAGTCATAATTTCCAAAAGCTGATAAAAACTTCTGGATTAAATATTTTCCAAAATAGATTAATAAAATTTATTTTAGATCATTCAGCAATTATCAGAGAATTTAACACTGCTAATATAAATTGTGATTGGATAAATAGTTATCATAGATTTGATAATAGCTTTCAAAAGCTTAATAAATTATATTGTAAATTTACATATGACAGTGAATTTATTGATAGATTAGCAACCATTTGCAAATGTATTCAATCATTAAAAATATATTTTGATAAATACAACAGTAAATTTGAAGATAGTCTGACTCAACTAATTAGAGCACAAAATCAAATAAAGCAATTAGTCATTAGAACAAATAGTAATTTGACTTTAACAGATAATTTCAAACAAGCAATTCTCACACATTCACAATCAATAATTCATTATTCAAGCAGAGAAGAAAATAATATAGATCATATATTATTGCCAACCCTATACAATTTAAAGACTTTATCATTAACATCAACTGCTTCATCTGCTACTGATAACAAAATAAAATGGTTGAAAAATATTTCATTGCCAAATATTGAATCTGTGAGGTTATGTATTTATTATCAACCATTTCTATCAAACTTGTCTAATTTTATTAACATTAATGGAAAAACTCTTAAACATCTATATCTTAGTGGTATTCCAAATGATGGAAATCTTTTGAGACAGCTATTTCAATCAATTTCACAATGCTGTGAAAATCTAGTAGATTTATCAATATTTTATAAGGATCAAGTATATCAAGAATTAATAGAAATATTCAATAATTGTATTAAATTAGAAAGTATTCAATTTAGAAAATTTTCTCCGATTTCTCAGGAAATAATAGATGTCAATAGAATTTTAGCAATTTTAAATCAAACGTGACAATCCTTTTGATAATTTAATGAGGTCATAAACCTTTTACAATAAAATTTGTAAGATCACTAGATGTTAGTAGTAATCTTGAATTGTTAAGAAAATATCAAGATTTCAATTGGTTGGATAAATAAATCATTTTCATTTTTTTATTATGCAACTAACAGAATTTTTTTTTTCTTTACAAAAAAAAAATAAATAATGGCATGATATTATTAATATTCTGATTTTATTGAAAATCCATGTACACTCCTTAACAGCTCTAAAATAATAGTCAATTGTTTATTTGAAGAAGATAAAGGTTTTCTAACCAGAAATAGCATTGAGCTATGGTTAAATCATATAATCATGCCAAATTTTGTACCAGATTTTATTTATTTACAATTATATTTTTGATGAGCCGGTAAAAACTTCTACTGATAGTTTTTACTTATTACTATTTGGAATTTGGAATTGGACAAAATCAATCAAGAACACATATATAGAAATATGATCAGCATATACTCATATTATAAGAAGATTACAGTAAGGCTTGATCTAATCGAACACATTCTAAATGAGAATTTCTTAACCCAACACTACATCAAAGAAAACACCTACCTGGTTAATAAAACACACAGAAATGGTAGTTATAATAATTAATGTTTT